GGGGGCAGAAAGAATGATATTTCTTCCTGTTTGCAGCCAACAAAGTCTTGAAAGCAGAGTCTCCAGACTATGCAATACCGCATTTCCACTGCAAAGCAGCAGGCATTTTCAGCCTGCAGAGCACAGTTTCAGTGCTCTGCTGGAAACATTGTGCTTCCAGGCCTTTCAGGTCAAGATCTGATAAGGTGCAAAGGGACTATATAATATTGAATTTAATTATGAGGGGGAAAAGAATGAGAGAAGGAGATGAGATTCAGTAAAATGGATTGAGTCTTGATTTCATCTCCTTATGAACATGAACGCTCCTCCACATGCTGGGACAGTGTGAGGAATACCCTAATAAATCCCAAGAAGTTACTGGGTACCTTTCACTGCCTTATGGATGTTTTTCATAATCTGGCGGAGTTCAGTCTTTTGTCATTATTTGAGTCCCAAGATCAGTCCTGCCCTGCTATCGCCTCTCTTGGGAATAGATACCAGCTTAAGAAATGTGTTATGAACACCTTAAATTGGCAGTTTCCCCAACCTCCAGTGATCCAAAGTCAACAGTAATAAGGAAGCAACATGCTCTTTGGCATTAGTCTACTTTTTTCTCCATCTCAGCTGTGGTTTGAATCTGGGGGTATTGATATACTGCTTGTTAGCAATGGGTTGGGAATAGCTGCAGAACAGATCTGTGGAAGATACTCTCTGTTCTAGGCTACAGAGATTCCCTGGGGATTTACTTGCATCGTAGCAAATGCCCATAAGCATATTCAGCAGGAAAATGCAGACAGCGTGATGCTTTTCCCACCTGGTTTTGTTGTAGTGGTTGTTTTCCAGTTCTTCCCCTGGAACCTGCACAGTAATAAGGAGGCCAACATAATCATTTTATTAGAAGAAAGAGATGTAGAAATAATATTTTAAGGTGTCCCTGCCCATGGCAGGGGGGTTGGATCTTAAGGTCCTTTCCAACTGAAACCATTCTGTGATTCTATGATTTTTATAAATTAATTAAGGGTGAGAGTTAATAGAAAATTTTCTGTATTTTTAAAGAATATTGAATTTGTATCTGGCCCTATTTCCAATGTAAATCATTCAGCTATACAGCTTTCCCCAGACAGCTCTCCTTAAGAGAGAAGCTTAAAAGTTGGGACAGCCTCAGGAGATATCCCTTGGGAATGGATTGCAGTGTTCTGGGAAGCCACCCTGTTTGCCACAATAGACACAGAGAGCCAAAAGCATCTTTGACAGCCACAGCTGCTGTATTTTGGTGACAGTTAGGATGTTCTATAAAAGGGCAATTACGGATGCAGATAACTACTCTCATAAAAGAGCTTATGAGAGTAAAGTATCTTTATCCTGGGGTAAAGGTTGAACTTGATGATCTTAAAGGTCTTTTCCAACTTAGTTCTATAAAAATTATAAATGCTGGATGGGATCCCAAGAGACTACCTAACTCACCTTCCTGCTCTTAAATAGCTCTGATGATGGAGGTGCCATGGTTTCTCTAGGAAGTCTGACTGCTTTACAGTGCTTCACTATCTATATAAAATCTAATCTGAATACCTTAGGAGTCTGAACCCATGATTCTTGTCTTATCCAGAGCTTCCATGAAGAAGAGACTGTTTCTTCTCTCCTTTTATCAGCCTGTGAAAAATGTTGCCATCTAAAAATCATAGAATTATACAACATTTTAGGTCAGAAGGGACCCCTGGGAATTACCTAATCCATCCTCCCGCTCAGAGCAGGGCTAACTTCCAAGTTAGCACAACACAATGTACAGCTGAGTTTTGAATATTTCCAGGGACAGAGATACCATAGTCCTCCAGGCTCCTGCTCCAGTCCTTAATCAGCCTTATATGATGCTGGGTTCATGCAACCTTTTCATAACAGGATGGAGTTGTTGATTTATGATCATCTGGTGACCTCCACCAATCTCCAGGCCTTTTTCTGTAGTACAGCTGTTATTTCTAATTGAATAGACTAATTCTCTCTCTTGTATTTGGGTAGCTGATTATCTCTGCTTAAGTCTTTCATTGTGCATTTGATTGTATTGAATACCATCCCATTTATTTCTGATCCTATTTCCAGTTTGGCAAGACCATTTTGGATTACAAACCTTTACCATACTAGCAGCCTTTCCTGGCGTGATGTAGTCTGTACGTTCCATCATAAAGCTCCCTTCTGCTGAAAATACAATACTCTATTTCCTTTTGTGGTTGACATATAGGTTCATTTATTTGCACCTCTCCCAGAGCAATGACAGAAGTGCAGAGAAAAAGTCAATCTGCACTAGATTTTGCTAACAACTGGACTTTGCAAAGTTAAAACAGCAAATGGAATTGATTCAAAATCTATTTAAAGGTGATTCCAGTATGTTCAGCATGTTTGAGATCAAGTATGAGACAAGTTAGCAGCAAAGGCAATTTATCTGGGGGCTTTAGAGAAAGGAAGAATGTTTAAATTGATTTATTTAGAATTATTTAATTTTTTTAACTTGTGGTTTGAAAGCTAGCTCTTGGTAGGAGCTCTGTGCACACAATGAGCATGTTTGGCCTTGAGCACATGTATCTGGTTTTAGTTAAACCAAGCTGGCCACACTCATTCCACCCTGCACATGATCTCATTCCATGCTCCTTGTCATGGTATCTGCACACCATCCAGCAATATATTAACAGCGTGAGTAACGTGTCTTATGTTGATTATTCTGTCACCAAGGGAGAAGTGAGTCTTGTCTGGTAGGGAACTCATTGTTTTGAACAAAGCTCTATACTTACGCTGGAGAAAAGTCAAGAGCTGAGCCTTGTGTTAAGAGAAAGAACTGGGAAGGTGTGTGCTGGCCCTTGGGTCTTTGGTAAGGCCATTTTGGGATTCAGACCAGCTACAACCAGAAGATTGTGGTTCCTGCACTGGTGAGCTCTCCTCGCATTGTGGAAAGGATGTTTTCAGTGCTGCCAGCATGATCAATTCATACTCTGTGACAATTGGGGCACCTCCAAATTCTCCTGTTAGTCCAAGAAGGAAAATACTCCTAATAGTCTTTATTTTACACTGAAGGAAATGACCAGGTTGGTGTTACAAATGCAATGTGCTGCGTGTCAGCCGAATGGAAGAAATGGCTCCAGGCTGCAGGGAGGAGAGGGAAGGCTTGAAAAACTTGTTCAGCCTCTCAGTGTTCATATTTGCTCTGTGTGGAGGGAACGAGCTGAAATCCATGCCCCTGCTGGTCTTGTTTACAGTGTGTGCTACCCACAGGGCAAGTTTTCTGCTACGGTCATCTGTCAGATTGGAAGGGAAGGGCCATAGCTAGTGGTTGTCATTAGAGACTGCATCATTCTTTTTGCATATTGACTGAGCTAAACTCCAGCTTCAGCTCCCATCTGTGTGATAAAGGAGGTGCTTTTCTACAGCAACTCAAGTGTGAGAGCCCCAAAGCCCTTTATAGGCCAAATCAACTGCAGATTGTGCCTGGGAGCAGTGCTCCTCCTTTGATTTGGGGTAAAACTGAAGGACTGAAGGCTGAAGCTGATTGCTCTTTCTCCCATATGCAGTCCTCAGAACAGATTTTTGACCTAAACATTCTCCCTCCCCCGCCATGCTACACTTAACTGCTCTGTCTTAATCTGATAATTTTTAGGGCAGGAGAATCCGGCATTGGTTCCTGCTGTGCTTGTGCTTTGTTTTCACAATTCACATTTGGCTGTCGGAGTCCCTGCCTCCCAGGTTCCGTCTTCTTTGGCTCAGTAGCAGCTACATCCCTGCAAATAGGAACTAAAGGACCATGGGGATTTCCTGGCCTCCTGCTGCTGCTTTTTCTCTAGAGAGTAGCTTCTGACTCCTCAAGGACACTGCGGATCTAAATCCTCTGTGCCTCTCAGCTCCTTATATGGTGACATGAAGAAGCATTAGCATTTTAGTTCTGATTTGGATTTACCCTGGTTGTCTTCTCAACTGAGAAACTCGAAACTTTAACACTATAGGCAAACCAGTTCTTAACCACCAAGAAACCATACCTTGGTTCATGCATATGCATGCTGTTGTCTCACCACTGTCTTGCTGAAGACTAGACCACATCGCTAACAATGAAATTCCCCTACAAAACCTTTGCAACAGCTGGCTTGAAGCATTTATTTTTTTCCCCTTCTGGAAGGGGTTTAAAGATACTTGTTTTTATAACAGCAGAAGAAAGAGGCTGAGCTGGAGGGAGGGTGCCAAGCAGGCTGTGGGGCAGAACTGGCTTTTCTGGCAAATAGCACAAACAAACACAGAGGTGATGGTGGGCAGCAAAAGCAGGAGGTCGTAGAGCTGGGGACACCTAGCAGGGACTTCAAGGGGCTCTGCACTCTTGAGCCATCCCATCCAGACATGCAGGGAGTGGAGATAATGCTCCTGAATGGGGGGAGATGTATCCTTGTTCATCCCAGAGCTAAATGCATTTTGGTGACTTATCCCCACCTCTGACAGAAGCCACCTACACAAGAGGCAGAGCACTGAGCAGAGCTCTTTTTCTGAGTGAGGAAAACACTTGTGTTTGTCTTTGGGAAGGCCTTGACTGACTTGGCATGAATTTGTTGGAGCCTGGAATGATGCAGTTTTGTACTGGGTTAGTGAAAAGTGCTTTGACAGCGTGTTCTTGTGCTGTGGTCCAGCCCACCCTGCTGCAGGCTGTGTCCTCATAATCCTATCACTGGATATAGTGCAGAGGGTGCATATGAGCATGAAACCATAAGGAAAGTAACTACACTTCATGGCTTGAGACATATTTAAGGGCAGAAACAAAGGGTTATGGTGGCTAAAGGAGCTCCAGCAAGTTTCAGGGGCTGCAGGAGCTTGATGTCTCTTCAGGGCCAGCTGCTAGCATTTAAAAAGGCATATGAGGTTTCTTCTTCTCCTTTATCTCCCCCTCAGATTCCATGCTGATGAGACACAAATCCTGACAAGCACCGAGAGCTGCACCCCTGTGCCTTGTCAGCCCCAAGTTTTAACAGTAACCGTAGGTTTCTCTTCTTGTGGTGCAGGTTCCACCATATTAGCAGAGCGGCTGGGACTGTCCACACCAAGCTTGCCTACATCGACACCCAATTCCCCCACCGTCCTCTGCAGCGGTGTCTCTGGCCCCCTCTGCAGCTCTATCAGTGGTAAGTACGATGGGATCCTCCAGCGCCTTTTCTCTGGCTCCCCTGGCCTGCTCTGCCCTGCCTCCCTTCACAGGCTCACACTTGTCTCTCAGAAGGACTCTAAAACCACAGTGATCAATCGAGTCTCCGGTCAGCTCCCTTGGGGAGGAAGGGAGAGCCTCTGCGAAGGCTGTTTTCAGTCTGCTTTACGTAGAAGCTGCTTAAATGCCTAGACAGCAATATTTCTCCAACCCTTTTCATCATGAAAGGTCCCCAGGGAGGTAGCAGAGTTTCTGCTGTATGCGTGGCTCTGTGACGCACAGCTCCTTCTGGAGAGCTGTGTGGCAGTGACATGTTGCATGCTAGCTTAGACCGGAGCTATGGGTATGCCTACGGCCCCATGTTCCCGCTCCTCACACCATCAGTACCCCTCACAGGAAAAGGCGGTATTGATATTTCTAATATTCCAGTCAGTTTTGGTGAGATTTACATAAATGCACATGCACTAGAAAATGACAGGCTGTTCTGCAGCACTTTAAAAGCCCCAGGTACTTGCATGATCCCAAGGCAGTGATGGTGGGATTTATAACTTACCAAATCCTTGTTGTCCAAACCAAGAGTGGTTTTCATTGAAGGTACCTCCCAGTCTCAAGTCTAATAACTGGTAACAGCAAACATTCAGATTTTTAACGGATCTTGGGAGAAAAAAAAACATAAATTTTCTCATTATCTTGCTGCTTCATCTGGCCTCATGGTGAAGCCTCGCTACGGGTGTGCCGTGAGCAGAATTACTGCAGCCATTCCTAGCTCTCAAAGCAATGACCCACTCAGAGCTAGATGCTGTCCATGCATGTACCACCCCACTCCTGTCCTGACGGATCTACACGGGGTGAGTTGCAGCCAGGCATTAATGCTCCCACATCCCTGGATTGGCCCTAGAGATGAAGCGCTGCTTGTCTTAGGAGCTGCTGCCACCATGTGCCACCCAGCCTTTCACTCTTCAAAGCAGAAGGCTTGATCCACCCTTCCTGATTTTTCCTCCTTTGTTAATGTTTAGACAGCGATTTGAAAACATGGAACTGCTCTTTGTTCCTGCTGTGTGGGAACAGCTGGCTCTTGGTTTGCTGTACACGGGCAGCAGATCCCAGCAGATGCCTTTCTGCTGCCTGAGCCTTGGCATGTGAACCAGGGCTCAAGGAATGGGTCAGTAGGTCTCAGGAAGGACCCCTGATCCTGGAGCATCCACTTCTGCTAGAGCATGGTTCCTCCCTCTGTAACCAGCTTCAGGGCAGACGTTACCATGGGATGTCAGGAAGGCTTTTAAGCAGGAGTGACCCTGTTCTTTGTGTTTCAGGCACAGCTCCCAACTCTCCAGTCAGCTTGCCTGAGTCACCCATCTCCCCGTCTGTCTCAGGGCCCTGGGGAGATGAATGTACCATCTGCTACGAGAACATGGTAGACACAGTCATTTACTCCTGTGGACACATGTGTCTCTGCTACTCGTGTGGGCTGAAGCTCAAGAAGATGGCCAACGCTTGCTGCCCCATCTGCAGACGGGCCATCAAAGATATCATCAAAACATACCGCAGCACTTAGAGCAGCAGCAGGTGCTGTGGTGGGGACTAGGCAGGTGGGGAGAAGACTGTGAAACAACACAGGTATTGGTCTCTATTCATCATGCAGGAGATTCAAAAAACATCACCCACCACCACCCTGATCCCCTCTTCCATGGAACACAGATGAGACAAGCTTAGATGCTGCTCTTCTACCCTCCAAGCAAGCCCTGGGGCTGAACTCCAGTGTGTCAGGGAAGCTGCGATGGACCACTCTCCCTTGTGGATTTTAATCTTTATCTCAAAAAAATGGCTGGTGCAGTCACCCCTTTTCTACACCATGCACAGCAGACAGGAGTCTCCAGTGTCAAGCAGGGACAGCAAGTGATAGAAGGTTTAGTGCTACACCTCTCCTTCCAGAGACACTGCACACACAGAGGACAGCTTAGCAGAAGAGTAGAAACAAAACAAACCTGTATTCATGTACAAGCAGCCTGACTATAGGAAACTCCTTAGAAAGGATGGAGTGAAGCAAGCTTTGACCCAGCGAGGGAGGTGCAGTGAGCACATTCACAGCAGAAAGACTGTGGCCAGTGCAGAAGTGGACCCAGTATTTGTGAAGCAACACCTGCCCCAAGTCTGCAGGGAGATGAGCGGCTCCTCAGGGCTGCTCCCAGCTGCTCCCTAGCAGAAGCATTCATGGTGGGTTTGGCAGCCAACATTGACACTGGCCTTGCTTCCTCACAGTGGTATCCAGCCACCTCTTGTTGCCATCCTGTTGCATGACAAGCGGCTCTCAAAGCCCACCACCACTGATCTGTGCGTGGTCTCCATGCAGCACAAGGGACTCAGCAGCATCTCTGATCCCATGGGCCTGCAGCAGAGGGGGATGTCTCCCTCACCTTTCTTCCCCTACCATCCAGACAGCACTTGTGAGGGAGAAAATAAAAGAGAAAAAAAGAAACAAAAACCCCAACCTCACTGGGGAAGAATGTATAAACCCACATGTCTGTGGGTTTTATTTACTGGTAACTTCATCACTGTGCTTCAAGACAAAACCAGCCGGGTAGTACTCAGCCCTTCACAGCCATGGCTGTCCTTATGTGTTAGGAAGAAAGGAAAGAAAAAAAACCCAACCCAGCTTGAGGGCTTTGGTTTGTTTTGGTTGATTTTGATAAATCCCTGTCCCTCCTGCCCCTGTTGGGAACCATGCTGTCCCCATAGGTGGGTGCCTGCCATGGCAACCTCATGGCTGCTGGCCCATGAGCCTGGTGTAGCAGGAGCTGCCTATCATCTCCTCTGCCTTCCAGGGCCACGCAGGAGGTAGAGACGGTGGCCTGGGCCCTGAGGTATGACCGAGTTAAGGCAGAGCAGCAGTGGTGTTTGACCGTGTTGCCCATAAGGTCAGGCTGGAGAAGGTCATGGAGTTGCACCCCTCCTGCAAAGCCTTTTCCCGTGCTGCAGCATATGGCCACTGATAGGACACTAGGCAACAGTGTGGCATAGGGATAAAAGCATTTAATGTGCATAGATAGTCTCTGCAGGATGCCCCAGGCGGGAGGTGGGTAAAGGAGCACTTGCAGAAGCTGCTCACAAGAGCACCTGGAAAAACATATCCTTACTTTGTCCTCTTAAGGAAACTACAAAAGAGGCTGCTGGCTGGAGAGAGCATTGTAGAGCCTTTCTCTAAAGGCATCACCATCCCTGCAGCCTACCACAAGGGTCTGCAGCTACCCCCAGCCCATCCCGGCAGGCAGAACTAACTTGAACACTGATATTCTGGTTACAGGGATTTACATTATTTCTTTGCATACCTCTCATGTACCCCCCTAACCCAGCCCTGCCCTCCAGGCTGCTGTCGAAAGCCCTGGATCATTATGGGTCCTGTGCCCAGATGCCCTCACCGAGGAGTGGGAGGAAGCCTGTTTGGCACAAGTCTGGGGTAGTCACAGCAACCATGCCAGCAGCAGGCATGCAGCCAGCCTCCAGCTTGCCCCAGGACAGAGCCATGACCTGCAGATACAGGGAGCCTGGTTCAGCTGTTATACAAACTCCAGTGCAAAGCTTTCAGGAAGAAGGAAGCGAAGGAGTGGGAAGGAGTTGATGAAATAGTGGATGTGGGGAAACGTGCAATAAGCATCCTCCCAAGCCTTCCCCACAACAGTGGGACCCATTCCCCTCCACGCAGGGCAAGCCAAGGGGTACATTTTATTTTTGAAGGAACTCCATCCATGAGTACCAGTGCAGTGGTGTGAATTCCCTTTTCAACTTTTGAATCCAGAGTGTTTTAATATATAACTGTGTTTGTTTTACTGTGGACCAAACTCTAGGAGTTAGCAGAAGCTGAAAACTCCCCCAGCATCCGAGCTAAAAAAATTGGGGTTAAGTCCTGCTCCTGGCATCAGCTGGCCTCTGGTTGTGAGCAGGGAGGAAGAGAGCAAGGCTCTCTCTGTGGAGACAAAAATAACAACAGCAAAAGCAGTAACAACAATTCTAACCTTTTCTTTTGTTTGACTGGTGTAGGTTCCCATGTACCTCCGTGTTCTTGTGTCATTTGCATTTCATTGCTTTACTTTAAGATGTTTTGTGTTCTGTTTAAAGAGAAGAATAACTCATTGTGCAAAATTGGATAACTGTGATTGTGAATAAAGTTGATTTAGGTATCCTGCAGCAGCATGGTGACTGAGTGTTTACCACTTCCACAAGCGTGGCAAAACATGATGGGCAGTGCAGCTGCGAGAGGCTGAAGTAAGAGCAACAGTGGCATGAGGGCCTCTTCCTTGGGGGGCGCTGGGAGGAGAGAGCTCAGGCAGTGCCAAAGGGACCCGAAGGGGGTTTGAATTCTCCAGAGTGATGTCCGTTTCCCCCAAACCTAACAGCATTGCTGCTGCAGGATGTGCTCAGGAGCACCCTTACAACAGCCATGCGAGATTTCCCAGCTTTTTCCACTACCATCCTGAGCAGTTCTTAGCTGTTGGGACAGGGCAAGTTTGCGCCCAGCTCCTGTTTTCCTAGGGACAGGAGGTTCTCTGGTGGGCCTGGAAAGCCCTCTCTGGCCACAGCCTCCTTGTCCTTTCAGTAGCAAGGGGTAGAGCTGCAAACAGAGACTGCCCCTGCAAAACGGGGCACTGACCTGCCAGATGTGCTGAGCGCAAGCACTGCCACAGATTAGGAAAGGCCAATGCTCTGAGCCAAACCCAGGTCCTACCCTGGCATTAGCAAGAGGGACCAAGGCAACATCACAGGGACCCTGTGCTTCCCTTTGACAACCCCAGCCTGTTCATTCCCTCCTGTAGCCACCACGTGCAATAGCCCCAACGAGCTTTGCATCCTCTTCTGCTGAGCACGCTGGAGTCACCCTGCCCTGCCTTTCCCTTACCTTCCTTGGCCATCACCTTCACATCACCAAATCCAAAGCAGATCTGCAATTCTACCATCGCTCCCAACCTGTTCTCCACCAAGACCAACCATGGCGCGGCACAGACCTGTCCCGGCGACAAGGCATCCCTTCACCGCAGCCTTCCCGCTCTGTTTCAGGCAGGGTCAGCCTGCGGACCGCGCTGGCGGGGGAGAGGGATGCTCTGAAAAGGATCCAGGAGCAGCAGAGCTAGTCCAGCATCGCCACCTGGCGCTCGGCTCCCGGCACGGCACACAGCCTCTCTTGCTGTGCGTCTGCCCCTTTTCTCTCCCTCCCCAGGTTTATTTTACTCCTTTTCACAAATACTACAAATACATATAAGTAGGACCAGAAATATTTAGCCTGAGTGCAGCATAACTTTGGAGAATGGCTCTTGAATAAAAATGGGGAATGAAAGCAGCAACTAGCAGTGGTTACAACATGTAAGGGGATACATCAGTACATGGTGATTGTTATCAGTCAGGAAAAACCCTTTCAACCCTAAGCTGGCTCACTATACACACAGAGGAAAGAGGGGGCTTAGTTCCCAGGCACACTTGTCACTAAGTTTGTGCCTTAAGACGTCCAGGACTGTGTGCTGGCTCAGATCTAATTCTTGGCATCATTCAGAGACAGGAATGACCCTCAGGCACCACCCTATGCATGACCTACCCTGTGCATTCCTACATGCCAGCACGGAGGAACATCTCATAGGTGCTGTTGGCAAATGCTGTGCCTCCAGTGAGAGCTAGCTCATCTCAGGGCCTGGGTGGGACTCATTTCTCCACAGCATGCTTGTGAAGTGCTACAGCACATGGTGAAGGCATAGCCCCATGCTAAAATGAGGTATACACTCATGGGAGGTCATTCTCTGCTGCAGGAACAAGAAGCTGAGGAGGGCCAACCCCCCTCTGCAGTCCTGCTTTTGAAGGTGGCAGCCTGGCACTAAGCATGACCCCTTTTACCTACAGATCTGTTAACAGACAATGAGCAAGTGGACAACACTTCAATAGAGGGTTCTCACAGTTGAGTTGGGAACTGAAGTGCTAGAAAACAACCTCATTTCCTCTCTACTATTACACCCCCCATTACAACCCACTCCCCCATTACATCCATGTTCAAGCATAGCCTGCTCTGCAGCCTGACTACAAGGGTGTTAAGGGCTCATTCTAACTTGCAGAGCAACCGTCTTATCACGGAACCAAAAGGCCACTCCTGTAAAAGGATGCTTCCCTTCTTATTTTGTATCTCATGCCACATCCCTCTCCAAAAAACCTCCTGTCAAAGTGTTGTAAACCTTAAGACCTTACTCAACAAAAAGGTCTTCATGACTGAGGGCAGAGGTGAGCCATCCATAAAACTCTGTGGACTAGAAAAGAGACAAAAATACAGCATACAGTAACAACTCAGGACCAGGGACAAGAGAAACTCCTTTACCTATTTAAGCCTAAGCTGAATTTTGCAATTGCATGTAAACAGAAGTTGTAAGTTATTCTGGGAAGGCTAAATTCAGTGGTTTGACAAACACAAGTAGAATTATAACAGTACTGCAAAACTGAAAAAGAACTCCCACCCCAAAATAAACCAAGTGGATCACAATTAAAAAGGTCAAAAATTTATTTTTCCTTAGGGCATAAGAGGCAATGTAAACAAAATACCAACAAACAAACAAAAATCACAAGTCAATTCTTACAGTCTGCAAGCATTTGAAGATACGAGTACCCTTTTTCCACCTCCCCCCAGAACACTGCAAGCCTGCTCAAATGTTAACTGTTCTGGACCATGAAGGTCCATTGAGTTTTGACGTATCTGAAGTTGGGCACTAGATTTCTCATGTAAGAAGGACACTGCATCTGTTTCATCAAACACTGTCAAAAAAAAGAAGTCCAACAAAATATAAATATTACAAAGATCAGATTTAGCACCACCTTTGGTCCAAGCAAGCAATGAACTGGGAGATGACAGGTACAGTCTGTTTAGCAAGTCCTTTCTGCCTGAGTCTTTGAAAACGTTAGAGGTTCACATTGCAAGAACTTGTAACAACTCTGAGAAAACGGCCCTCAAACTCTGGCAGTCCCTTACAAGTTCCCCAGGTCCTGTGGAGAGGAAAGGATCATCACTGTGCAGCAGTGCACAGTGCCAGCCAACATCACTCAAAGCGCTTGTCAAGCTGAGCTTGGCCCTGTGGTACATAGCAAACACTGTGCCAAGGGTCTGATCCTGCTTTGGCCTGGTAGACTTCGGGCATGGCTGAGGAACAGGAAGAGCAGTGACAGTGTGCATCCTGAATTCCCCTTTCCACTAGGATTTGCCATCCTCCAAAACCCCACAGACTGCAGCAGGGTATATGACAGCAGATGCCTCGAAGGAGCTGAAGTTGCCTAAACCCAAGTTATTTCAGCATATCTAGAACATGCAAATTAAGAGCTCTTTTATTGAGCATAGTTTTACTCTAGGCCCTTTTTAGGCTCATCTTTTCCCCATACAGACATGCCCATCACAAATGCAGAGAGGTGCCACTACCTAGCTGCTGTGCCACAGCACCAACGTGAGCCAGGAGAGCCGTAAGGATAAGTGGCAATCCCGGCAGAAAAATGAAATTCATAAAGCACCTAGCAATATTTTTCATTTCTTGCAACTCCCTCCTCTACAAGTGACCAGAACTCAATTTGTCTTTTCTTTTCCTCCAGAAGTTTAGAAGTTTTTGAGAAGTTGTAATTAACCATTATTAAATGATGTTCAATTCTGAGATAACACCAGCTCTAATAAACACCTAAAGAGAAATGCAGAGATCTGCTTTCAGGCACAGTTTTTGCTCTTCATGTTCACATGCACAGTTGCCCAAGACAATGTGAGTTTCTCATTGTGCTGAGACACCCGTGCAGAGTTTTCACCTTTACAGGCACAGACATGATAAAGAGCAAGCATTTGGGCATGGTATCCAGCTGTTCAGCAGTCATGGAGAAGAGGGCAGCCCTTGTCCCACACAGGGCAGCAAAACCCTGACCCAGACACCCACACCGGTGACATGAGCAGACACAGGTTGATCTGGTGATATTCCACCCCCCATTTACCGCACTTGGTCTGCAACATAACCATGAGGACAGCTCAGAAACCAGTTCTGGACTGGACACTAAAGTCAAGTAAGCCTGCATGTCTGGATTAGGAGGAACCTAATGCTTCATGCAACTGTTGCATGACTACTGTCATATCCAAAGCAAACGAAAACAATGTGCTATGTTAACTCCACTAATTCTCACTGATGATATATATGATAGAGATGCACTTCTATTGTCCCAGTCACAGAACGAGGCCTACAGTACTGTATGTGTCAGAAAAATCATCACAGGTCCCCACATAATCTGTGCTAAAGCCTGAGGGATGTTTTTACAGGGTCACTTGGCAAATAGGAGAGCTCTGTTCTCCCCACTGATTATGCATCTTTAGTGTTGGCCCACAGAGAAGTCACTTATCTTTGTTACCTAGTACTCTACTCTGCATCAAATCTACCATTTTACATGCAGACTCAGGGACCAATCATAGAAAGGTCTTCTGTTTTCTGCCAGTTCAAACCGACTGGGGCATCTGACCCCTCATTAACAACAACTCTCATCATCAATGGCAAAAGGGACTGTTAAATGCAAAAAAAAAGTCATTTTTCTGGGTTTCAGTTTTACTGGGATGCCTGTGAAAGGCAAAATCACACGATTTCCTTTTCTAGGAAAGCATCTCAGAGACCCAAGCACATCTGGACCCTTGCAGCTGTTCACTGTACAGTTTCATCCAAGTGGTCGCCATCGCAAGTTCATTAAACAAAAACTGGACAACGCATGAGGCTGCAGTTACAATTTCTGTCTCTAGCTCACATTTGCTATAGGTATATTAAGGACTGATGCTGTGAATTTCAGAATACCTGTCAGCTCTGAGAAAATCAGTACTTTGCCAAAAGCTCTAACATTTGCATGATGAACAATATTTGCTCCGCTACCTTCAGAGGAGCGGGATCAGAGGCCACAACAAAATATGGTCCAAAGCTGTTACTACCAAAAAAAAAGGGTTTCCCCAGACTCATTTTCTTCCTCTCTTGGCTTAACTTGCAACCCAAACCAAACTGAATGGACTCCCGCCCATAAACTTTCTTAAAGAGAACAAAAAGAACAAAAAGGAAAGCTCTCAGTTATTCCTTCTCACATATACTGCCACAGAAACCACACCAACTTCTAAGCTTTTCCCCACACAGAACAGACAGAATGGTTCCCATGTTAAAAATAAACCAACCAAACAAAAAGACGACAAAAAAGTGTCACCAACTTGACCACTCACACGAAAACCAGCCACACGTTTCTCTATCTCTGGTCACCGACATACTCTCCCAAGCTCCCACCAGGTACATTCCCACCACCTAACCACTAGAAAATGGACTGCTACACCAACACAGAAATGACAACAGCATCTAATATTCAAGGTCACATTAAGAACATCAACCGCCTGGGAAACCCACTGCAAAACCTCACTTGGACCAGGCCTAGACCAATTATTTATCAGTTACACATTTGGCACAGCAAAACCCGTAGGAGTTTCCAGTCCAGACACATGCAGTTGCTCCATTAACGGAGGGGAGCACAACTGCTTGAACAGACTTCAGCCTTCATTCAACAACAGGTTTAGGCTCTCTGTAATTGACTACCCAGCAGTTCCAGAGACAATTTGGGCTAATTAACAGCTCTGGAAACAGCTACAGATGTAAAGATCCAGCTGAGCTGCTTTCGACACCCACCTTGAGTTATCTGCATCTGAACTTTAGCCTAAGCAGCAATCAATCAAACTGCTGGCAAGACTTCTCCTGACGTGAAATCCGATATTGAGTCTTAACTGAGGAGGCTCATCTGCTTGATTCTCCCCAAACACTGCAGACAGAGTAAGGAGCACTGCTGTCTGCAATTGAATCTGCAATAAAGGAACAGCACTGTTAGCCAGACAGCAGAAATGCCCCTGCTCCATACACTGTTGACCCTGCAATACTCAGTTTGGACCCTCAGTACAAAAAAGTCATTGTAATGCTACACACACTTTGCTTTTGCAATACTCCAGGTTTGAACTCATCATGAGTAATGAGCAAGTCTTTTCAGCAAGCCTATTCAGCGGGCTGCAGAGAAATTCCTTGTAGAGACTGGAAACAATTATAACTCCCCACCCCCCAAATCCAAGGCAGGAAATAGTTAAGTCAGCTATTCACTGAAATATTTCATTTTTTAAAAGGTTTCCTTTTAATTCCTTTTCTATTATTTTTTTTTCCAGTTTACTAATTGTTACAGGCTAACTTCCAGTGACTGCACTGTTCTCTTCTGACCTGCTCCTAGGGGACAGAAATAAACTGAATCTGGATGTTCAAGGGGATGCAGAGTCAGAACAGAATTTGATGCCCTCCTCCCCCCCAGTTTAAACGCCAAGGGTGATGATGGGATTTTGTTTATTTATTACTACTTCCCTGGGGACCCAGAAGCAGTTCAAGAACAAGCTCTTAAACCACAAAAGAACTGTTTGCACAGAGAAAGCTGCCACGGTGCTTATATTTCAGACATCAAACACAGCATCACTAACACAGCTTTGGTATCTGGAGAAGCCCGAAATAGTTCTTTTAATTTTAAATGTTGTATTTTCAAAATCCTCCTACGGTGCCAAGTGATTCTCTCTCCCCTGTTTTTCTCCTCCACCAAGCAGGGAGCAAGACTGACATGTACCACTGTAACCAAACAACCCTGAGCATCAGGGGGAGATCACCAAACTCAATGTTTTCCCAGAAGTGCCATTAGCACAGGGTTGTTTCACAGAGGGCCAATGCAGGCAGACCTGGAAGAGCAACCCCTGCCCGCTCCACCAGCTGAACCTCAGTGTCTGTAAACTCCCAGGCACACAAACTGCCTCAGTTACAACAAACACATAACCTGTGTTTGTCTTCCTTAGGTGGATCATTGGCTTCAGGATACAGATTGTCATAGTACATCACGGAGTGAAAAACTTCAACTTTTCTCACTAATGAAAAAGCCTAACACAGAGCAGTGATGTATTAAACCCATCTATACAGAGAAAGCACCTGCAGTGTCAGACCCAATAATTTATGGCCTTATTAGAAACATATTTTTCTCATATTTTATCTATCTCTCCTCTGCCAATATAGTTACCTCTCATTTATTTCCAAATTATCAACACAATTCCCATAATTATTTTGATTCAGTAACAAACAGGAGTCTCAACTCAGGACAGTAGTGGCTTATGCTGATAAGAACAGGTCTGTAAAAACGCCAGTGTGAAGCTTTAAACCAAATTTATTTATTAAAAAAACAAACACAAAACAAAAAAAATTGCACTCTCCAACTAGAATCAACGCTACCTTGATGCGAGAACAATGAAGAACATTGTTAATGGGACCAGCCCAGCCCTGACATTATAAAATGGGAGAAATCAATCTGTGCTGCCTACGCCAGTCAGGCCCGCAAGCAGTGCAGCACAGCTTTCACTCCAGGAATCGCTGCGGAGCCCCAGCCCTGATGTGAGGGCACCCAATAAAAGAAGATCCCCTCATCATTCCACCCTTGGCAATGCATGCACACCCCACAAAACTGACACCCCAAAGTAGAGTTATGGGTGACTCTTTACAAACATCTGTGCTTTGCTCCAAGTTGGGTCTAAGATGGAGGAGGAAAAGCAGCACCATCAACCTACATCCCAACCCAAAGTCAACTGACTGTGGGGGCTTCTGGATCCGCCCTATATACAGTACTTTATTTGAAAGTTACAGACACACAACAGACGTGACTACTGAGCAGCACAGAGGGAGAGAAAGAGAAATGCAAGCACTGTGCAGAGCTAGCAGAGGCCATCAAACAGTTCAAGTGTGCAGACACATTCCTCATGCATCGCTGCATTGGTGGTCCCTGCTTCTACCAAGCAACTACAAGCAAATGAAAATAACATAACTTACACAAACATTTGCTCTCAGACCATCCTACTGGTACTGTTGACATCTATCAAACACTGCGTTTATACACAGCACTTTGCAATGTGGCTAAGTAGCATCTACAGTTGCCAGAGAAGGAGCTGCTGGTGATGGGAAGCCACCAGCAAATAGCAGCAAAGCTCCAGTTGATTTCCAAAAGCTGCAAGACCTGCAGGGAAGTGGATCAAGGCATGAAAGCACCAAGGCTTAGCAGGCCTGTGCACCCTTTGGAGGTGTAGAAACTGAGTGCACGGTGTTTGTTTTTGCTGAGAACATTCCATGCTGAGTGCCCACAAGGAGCTTTGCTCCTCTGTGGGTCTTCTGTCAGTGTAACTCTACTGATGCTCGTGGAATTCTTGCCAGGTTAGACAAGAGCACGTGAAAGAATTAGAGGTCTCTCTTCAAAACCAAATTCATTTGTAAAGTATTAGAGGTTTTAAAAAAATCATGTAATTGAAACTATTTCAGTACAGCTGCAGAATTCAGTTTTCCTCTTTGCATGCAAAGGTCTCTGGTAATAATGCTTTTTGACAAACTTAAGAACAGCAGGACAAAAATTAAGCATAAAGCTGAGGTACACCCCCTCTCCAGTGACACGAGCCACAGAAGATGTACTTGCCAGAGCTCAGAGAATCAAATGCTCTGGCTTTCACATTTCTCTTGCATCTTATGAAAACAATCCAGTTTTTCAAAGGTAGTAGATTTTGCTGCTACCTGGAAAGTCACATTATTTCTGACAGATGGAAGTTCTCCTCCCATTCAAATAGAATTTAAGACAAAAGCTCCTCTGAAGAGCAAAGTTTCTGCCCAACTTTATTTTGGACCTGAGTGATCAGCCTTTGCAAGCCAAGGAATATGAAATCAATACCCAAACCAGCTGTGAAATTCTGCAGGTGAGAACTAACCAGATAAAATGGGGACTTTTTGTCTTAGGTTAACAACAGGGAAGGAAAAGAAATAAGGAACTGTAAAAATACTCCCATAGATCTTGCAATAAATACAAGTAACAATACAGTATCAAAACTTGGGACTGCACCAGCAGAATTATTTTCCCTTCTGAAGTTACCATTGATTCCAAAGTGTAACAGAGGACATAACCAGCAGAGACATACCAGAAGAGAGTATCATGCATGGATGGCATACAGAGTGTTTCAAGCGTAGCTCAGAAGTCCTGTATTGATAAAGATGTTAATGCACAATCTATACATAATCCTGGCAACATGCTGCATAATCCTTATACTTTCATTAACAGGTGATGATTTTTCATGGAAAGCAGCCATTCCCACCCCAAACCACCCCAGCTATCCTGTCAGTCCCTACCTACCCAAGGGTCCTATTCTTATCCAGCCATCCCCTCCCTTGCATTTCCCCTTTCCTTAAGAGTGCATGAATAGAGAATTGCAAACTTTTCACACTGCACGTTCCACTCCAAGTCCTGGATGAGGGGCCTGTTTATTCTATGAATATTGCACTTATCCACTCATTGGATTTGTTTTTTTTCCTCAAGAATGCAGAGTATTTGGGAAAAAACAGAAAAAATAGTAGGATACAACACAGGAAAATATGAGTTATTAACAAGCTAGCTATGAAGATCTAAAATTAAATAGTACTAGTTCTATTCTGTTAATACTAGTAATATGAAAATAATGAATGCTTTATCAAATTCCCTTGTTTTTCATATAAGATAAAAGCAGTAACTTTCTTTTTAACTGAGGAAAGCAATGAATATATATTACAATAAAATACGATTCATTAAGATCTGAAAGTGATGAAAACAATTATATAATGCCTTCGTCAAACTTGATAGCACTGTAATGGAAGGAGTCTTTGGGGTGCATATCCACAAGGGTAAAATCCATTTTTCAGCCATACCCATGCAGATGTGAAATTCCATATTTAAAAGTGAGCCAATTACAATCCTTCATTGTTGTGTGTTTGCTATTACTGTACACACCGATCTAAAGGCTTCCTGTCAACACACCAGTTAAGTATCCTGACACGTGCTCATCATATCTTTCATCTTGAGAAGCGTGGCTTGCAAAGGATGAGCACGTATGACTATACCCACCCACTGCAAAGCATGAGAGAGAAAACTTAACAGAAATTGCCTCCCACAGGGAAGGGCTGCTGACAAAAACTTAGGACTCTTGTGTTCTGAGAGGGTAGATAAGGGAAACCAGGAATTAAACTTTTCAGGCATTATATAAACCTCAATAACGAACTCAGAAGTGCTCATTATTATTAAAGTTGCAGTATACAGCAAGACACAATTTTCACATTCTTAAATTTTTCTTCTCTGGCGTTAGAGTTTGGATTTTCTGCTGGTCCAAATTCAAGACATTTTGGAAAGCACGGAGAGCGGGTGAGAGCAACGCGGTGACAGCAGCCGCCTCTCCCCCCGGAGGAGGGCCCCCTTCAGCTGCAAACAGCTTTGCCCAAGCCCTGCAGAGCTCTTCTTCTTAACAATCTGGTTCAAGAATAAACCAAAAAAAGAGAGAAATTTAAACAGTACTGTTGATTTCTGCATTGAGTGTTCACTGAGGTGTACGTTACATTTAAATATTGCTCTTGATCCAGTGTCAGTTCCGACAAATTTAGTAAAAATAAAAGCTTAAGGCGACATCAACATTTTAGAAAAGAACTAAAACACTTCTAGCACTACACCGTCCTTTGAGGCACCCTGCCAGGCTTTCCTGCCCTGCAGTCAGCTTCTCTGATTTAGCTTAAGGCCTTTCACTCTGTTTCACAGCTAATAGTAGAAAGGGCTTGCTGTTTCAGGTATCAGTGGAGCTGACCAAACCTAGCTGCTCGCTGGTGGAAAAAGTAATTCTTTTCCTCTCAGTTGGAAGAATTAAAAAAAGAGATTGGTGAGAGATGCTGTGACAATGGTAAAAATGGGAGGGGGAAAAACTGCATGGGGGGGGGGGGGGGGTATTTTCTTTAAAAGTGATCTTTCAAACACAAGCAGTCAAAACAGTCACCAAATAAAGGGAAGCCCAAACCAAAGCTTTCCCATCAGGCCGTGGTGGCCCACATTCATTTCTAGCATCAAGTAGGTTGGTTATGCCCCATCTGAGGCAGATGGAAGAAGCAAGTGTGGCTTTGCAGGCAATCTACAGGTCCTGGCCTCTGCTCCGGGGGCCATAAAACCTTTGGGATGTGAAAAAGGAGCAACTGAGCCATAGGACAATGGGCTGCTGCTTGAGAAAACCCTGGCTGTGCCGCAGGCACCCTCACCAGGTGTCATCCCCTGCACTGATGGAGCTCAGCAAACCATCTCCCTGCAAAAGCCAGAGCTGGAGATGCAAGCCAGCAAGGTGGAAAGGGAGCTCAGGGACAGACTGATGTTACAGAGGTGGCCTGCATTTCACAGGTTAGTGTGAGGATCTGCCTGAGCCTGTGTCCACCAGGGACCAGCCTCATGCAAGGACACGGCACCACAACTGTCTGGCAAAACCAGCTCTGCCACTCCAAACCCTGTGAGCACTTTTGCAGTTGAGAGCTGCTCTGTGCTCAACTTTGCTGGATGCAGGTGAGAACACCTGTGGTAGTCAGGGCTCTCCCATTCGTGTGCTGCTTTCCTCTCCCTAGGTAGGGGCTCACCTCACACCACACCATATTCAGAGAATTCAGTGGCTCAATGCAGAAGATCTGGGAGCTGTGCTTTTACATCCCCCCAAAGAGATGACCTAGAGGGAATGTCTTTAAACAAAACTTTAGAATATTTTAAATAATAAGTTAATTCTTAATAAATATGTGCTTCAAGAAAATGATAATTATATACTGCACCTTTAAATAATGCACTTATTTCTCTGCATTGGCTTCCGTTTTGTTTTCTTTTATTGTTAAAGTGCATTAATTCAAAATAATGAACCACTTCCTCATCATTATTGTTAAAATAAATCACAACAACATTAATATGAGTCACTAAGTCACTACTATTAGTACTGCAATCTAGCAGATAACTCTATGTATTGCTCTATTTAATACTGTCCAGCAGAAGAATATAATACTTCTATTATAATTTCACAACAGCTCCAGCAGTCTTTTATGGCTGCTACCATATTAGTACAATTAAAAATGGGGAGAAGTATGGGAGACAGGGTCACAATGCCTCAGATACACATCCAGTACGATGTAGCTAACTGGATATATACATACATATTATATGGCAAGATATTAAGGTACAAAGAGGACCCTGCACACTGTGATAGGAGCTATTGTGCAGATACACCTCCTTCTCCTGCCACCACAGTATAAAGGGACCCCAACTGAACAGCCTCCCTCCCCACTTGGATGCAAAGAGCTGCTCGAACCACAGCACTGTTCATAGCCAGTAGTGGCACCTGGATGTTGTTTCAGCTACCAAAAGGACACCGGTCACGTTAGGTGTAGGTTAGCTGTAGGCAACTCTCTCAGTGTTACCAGGGAAATTAATAAAAAACCCAAACCACAAAAACCCCCAACAATAAAGACAAGAACAACGTATAAATTGTGTAGTATTTTTTTGGCAGAGAAACACATGATATTCTTGCGCTATTTTACTCAGCCCCTTGATCCCAGCTATTTTTAAGTCTTCATATCCTTTAGCTTCTAAGCCAAATCAGTTTGAAATTCTGTTGGAAAAAATGGCATGTATAATTCTGTGTAAACCAGTAGGGAAATAGTCTGCCCCTCCCCCTAAAAACAGATCTGCAATGCTGCCTATTATTTAAAGGAATTAGATATTGATCTTGAGTGATTAACAAAGCCATTTAACCCCCCCTAAAAAGCCATGTCTTCCACAAGTACAGTAGGGATGTGGGCAAAAGACTTGGCTACCTCATAAATAAAATATGTTCAAAGCCTTTTTCAATGGATGCCTCTTCCATTTCCCACCACACTTTCCCTACCATGTGCCGTGTTTCAAAGCATGCATCAATAAAGGCAATTAGAAATGGAATTAGAAGAGGCAGCTTCCTGGTTAGATGCATTTTAGGTGCAATTCCTTTGATATTAAACCTCTGAGCCTGAGAAGCCCAGGTACACTTTCCAGTACAAATGTACATTTTGGATTCAAGTGGGAACAGAAACACATATTTGGCTCCTCCTTCAGCTTTAAGTGTCTCTTGGTAAAACAAGACTAAAAAAAAAAGTAAACCAAGAATGCACAGAAAAGACAAAAACAAAACACAGAAAAAACTGTTCCCCAAAAATACACAAATTAAGGATGTGCAGACTGAGTTTGATGGCTTTATCCCCCCACCCCCTATTGTAAACACTGATGTTGCAGAAGGTCACGGCTATTTCTAAGTAATACCTTGGTGGGCCCTGCCAGCAGTCAGCACACTTGAATTTGGACCAGATCACAAAATCGAGAAGTAACACATTTGACAGCTTTGTCTTTAGTGTCTTAAGGGACTTTCAAATATTTTCATATTATGTCAAGTTTTAAGAAACCCGACTCTGAGAAGAGAATCAACCAGGATCACCTGGCAGGAGTCAGGCACAGAACTAAATATGGAGTCTACAAAGTAATCAACGTGCTTAAGCATGGGGTTTGTAGGTTTGTTTTACAAGCACCAGTAGGCATTGCTGCCCTAGAACACCTGAAATCCCAACTCAAAGTACAAGACAGAACAAAAGGAAACAAAAAGCCCCCAACCAGCACCACCTGATTGCCTTTTCTGGTGAGTTAGCAGTAACAACAAAACACAGCTGAAGTCAAGAGACCAAATGTCTCCACGGTGAAAAGGCTCCAACTCTGGACCAACCAACTGTTGAGAATAGTAAAAAAAGAAGTGAACATCTCCAAAGGATTAGAGTCCCTCTGTGTTTCAGAAACTTCCATTCCCTTCTCACTGTAAGTTGTGGAAATGCATCCAGAACTCTTGGGTATTCCATGTACAGACAAGAATGAGGAGAAAGGGAGCCTAGATCGTAAAACAGAGTTTGGCACAAAACTCCCCAAGTAGATGCATGTGTATTTCTCTCTCACAAAAGGCACACATTTGGTTTCCTATCGATAATGGGAAAGATGGGATATCATACCCTGTTACACATACAAGATTATTAACAACTTCACAAAAAGGCATTTGGCTATGCTGCATCTTCCTCATAGCTGTTTACAACATATTAGCCCCACAAACCTCTCCAGAACAGCAGGTTTGTCCTCAGCATAGACTCCTTTGTCCCTTTGTACAAACTGGAGCACAGGGAAACGTCTTTTTGCGTAGCAATTGTTTGTTTTTTTTTTTTCCACATGTACACAACAGGAACAGTATAAATTAGGGAGGTTAAAGATATTGCAATATTAGTTCTTTTTCTCCAAGTAATTTGAGGGCACCCAGCCTTTGAATGGCTTCACACCATTCATAATCTGGCAATACCACCAGCCATTCGGGTTCCTTTCGAGGACTTCCATGCAGACACCTTCTTGAAACCCTGCAGTCTCCTCATCCCCTTCATAGTCTGCAATGGAAACATAGATGTCCTTGAGATTGTTGTGGATGAACTGGGATTTCTCAATGGGCTTTGGCCTGACTGTGGACACAGGAATCCCATTCCTCTGGGTAGAGAGATTGGAGGTGTTCTCCGAGTTCTCTGTACCCGACCGCTCAGGCTGCTTCCCCTTCGCATCACCAGGCTGTGACCATGCGTTGCTAAAGGAGGAATTCCGACGGACACTCCTAAGATGATCCGTAGTTGTTAAAGATTCATTTCTGCGCAAGGAGCATGACAGGTTGTTATCCTTTGGTGGTGGAGACACAAACACTGACTGCGGCCGGACGGCAAGTTGCCTCACACCATTCCTCATTTTCACTGGCCCTGATGGCTTTGAAAAACCACCAGGAGGTTTGCTTGGGATGGGTGGTGTTGAACGTTTGCTCTGGTTGATGGTGTTCAAAGCCTGAACCCTCTTCTCTATCTTCTCTAAACTGTTTGACTTGTTTTCATTTTTCCTGTTCCTGGCAGTTGAGGCATCAGTCTCTGCTGATGTAGTTTCCCGCTGGTTATCAGGGAGAGCCAAATAATGGGAAGGAGCCCAGCCTTCCATGTCTCCGTATTTCAGGTACCACCATCCGCTGGCTTGCTTTTCCAGCACTTCCACTTCTACTCCTGCTGGGAAGCAAATTTCAGAATCCTGTACCTTTTGGTATGAGTCAGTGGTCACATAGAAACATCTGGAGTCATTTTCTTGCTCAGTTTTGGCTGTATGGCTAGAGCAGAAAATGCCACGGGAAGGAGCTGTAATGATATCAGCTGAGCTCCTCCTAACAGGATCCTCTTGGTTCTCAGAAGCTGTATGTGGGGGGCTCTCGGACTCTTCACTTCTTGAACCTTTAAGTCCACCTCTGAGTTGCCCAGTTGGCCTCAGCTGTCGCCTTAAAGTGCTGATATCCATCTTTTCTTGGCTCTGAGAGTCTGCCTTGTTCAGGAAGGGTTTGGGCCTAACAGTTGGCTTTGCTTTAATGGAAGGACTTTGACCAGGCTCTTTCTTCATGCCTGTCCGTGGCACACTACGTAAACCAACATCTGAAGCTGACCTTGGTTTTGTTTCCTCACTCCTGGAATAATGGCATTTTCCAAGATCAGGCTGAATGTTTTTGTCCATCTTGAGCTTCATAAGTGATGACTTAGGAGAGCTGGAAGATGGAGAATTCCTCTGGATCAGGGAGAGAGAAGAGCTTTTCTGAGAATCGGAGTCTCCACTAGATTCCTTATTGGATGATGCATCTTCCACATAACGTCTGAATCCCTCATTCTCATAGATGGTCTCTTCTTCGTGAGCAACTTCTTCTGAAGACTCTCCCACTTTGAACTTTGCTTTCTGAAGTGATGACATAGGAGAGGGCTTGAGGGTCTGAAACAGGCGTTTTTCAAGAGTGCCCTCTTCACGATAACTTTCACTCCCTTCACACTCTGAGTCAAAGCCAAAGGCAGGCACATCATACTCAGGTTCTTCATATTTCAGCTTGTGGGGAGAGTCCTGGGTATCTCCTGAAGAAACTGTTCCAGGAGCTGTTCCTTCTTCAGGGTCTTTTGGTTTACTGGGAGGTGCTGGGGGAGGAACTTTTGGCCGGGTTAAAGTACTGGTTCTTCTGTTTAAATTCGGCTTCTTCCTTTTGTCAATGTAAGATGCTGGAGCCCATCCCTCCTTCTCTCCAATCTGCACGTACCACCAGCCGCCAGAATTCTTTTCTATAACCTAGGACATGACAAGGAACGTGTTACTTTGACAAAAGTCTCAACCGAAAGCTTTCCACTCCTTCCAGTTCCCTGCAATTGCCAAATATTACAGTTTTTTTCCAGCTGCACTGTTAAGGCTCACCTCTGCTTTTTGTCCTCCACGAAAGCTTATGCCATCAGAAATACATGACTGGAACTCTGCAATGGTGTAGTATTCCACTTCCACAGAGGGTGGCTCTGGTGGTTTGGGCAACTGAAAACCCTACAGAAAATAGGGAGTTTTGTTCAGTTAAACCAAAGAAACAGTGGCTGAACAGCAAAACAAAAAAAGTATTTGCCTTCATTCACTAAAACTCTTCCTTATTCCTGTGTTATTTCCTAATGACAACTTCCCAGTTCTCCAGAGTGGAAGCTGATATGCCGAGATGGGCCACAAGAGAGAAACCTATCAAAATGCACACTGTTCATGCTGCCTTCACCACCTATTAAAACCGTGATAATCTTTACCTAAACAGTAAAACATTTTACTGATGGGCCATAAAGTGTGAGCTGCCATTCCAGTCACAGTAACAACAGCCCATGTACTCTGAGATTTTGTCTAGAAAGACTCAGTTCTGAATGGCTTGCCACAACTGCAGAAAATCACAATGCAACTGGCCTGTAACAGTTTCTGCCCGTCACCAAATATACTGCCTTAAAATGTAATCCTAATGAATTATTGCTCTTAATCTGCTGTGGGATTTTTAAACCATCTGAAAGAGTGATATGAGCTAATGGGATTCTGTTGTAGCAAGAAACAAGAATAATATCACAGACCCCATGAAGAGCTTGGCTCAGCTGAAGTGGTAAGAGAGAGGAAGGGCTTTACTATAGGATCAAGATGCCAATTCCTCCACGTAACAGAGACCCAGAACCTCTACTCAATCCCAACATAACCTGCATTTAAATTGTACAGAGGCTCCAAAAGAAGCACGACACTGCTATTTACAGCCACTCTGCAGCATACCAGACTCTTCTAAAAGCCAAGTGCCTTTACATTGAGCTGTTGCATTTCAGAGTTCATAACAATTATTTTTAAGGTGATGAATGGGGTAAGAGTCCTTTCAAGAATTTTAGTACCAAAAGCTTTTCAGATTAGCACAGTGCTCATCTACAGAATGACTAGATGCTGGTGAAGCTTCACAGCTTGTGGTTCTAACACGAGAATTGCAGTATGTCAGGATCTCTTGACCATAGGTCAGACCTGCCACAGACATGTACAGGACAGCCAAAGACACAAACTGATCCTAAGCCATCAATGGAAGAAAGGCAAATTGCATACTGTGCTTTATTCTCACACTGCTCTATTTCTAAAACACCCTCATTGTAATTAACAACCCAAGTTTTATCACATGAATGTGATGAAACGCAGCATGTGGTATTTCATGGAGAATGCATCACTGCACCTGAGGAGCCGTGTCTAACAATATTATAATTGGATGTTTCTGCACTATAAATGCTGAAACACAGCAGAAGTGCAGCATAATAAAATGCCTTCAGATAATAGCATGGTTTGGATTAAAAGAAGATAATTGAAAACAGCAGGCATGTTCAGGGTTTCATATATATTATCATTGTTATTTTTAGCATAAGATTAAGAGTAATAGTCTTGCCAAAACAAAGTCTGTTTGAAAATAACGCAAAAAGAAACAGGAAGAAAATGCCAATATGCTATTCATCTAGTTAACAGGGATCTCAGATAACACAAAAGAAATTGTAAGTCACATACTGCTAAAAAGGGGTACAACAGAGATTAAACACTATGTACCGTCTATTTGTAAACAGGTTATTAGCATGAATTTGTGCTAATAGATTACTTAGTACTTCCTATCTGAAAATCACAGTCCTAAAATCAAAATGGTCTAGACTTCCAGCTTTGAAGGTAAAAATCATAGGAGGTCTCATTCTCATAGTACACATCCTCCATAAGGTCTCAAGTAACCTTAAATATATACAAGAGTGAAGCTTAACTATCTCAAAGACAGTAGGAATGGAAGGAGGACAGAAGACAAGAGAAAGTCAAAAGATCCAGTCTGGGCTAAAGACACACAGAGGAACTTTAATCCTGCTGAGTCAGCCAGACAGGCTTTAAGGCTCATGCACAACATAGTAACTTTGGGATGTTATCCCTGCAGTTCCCAATTAAAGTTAGGATGTCCAAAGGTCTGCTCAACAGATAAACAATAAAATGAACAGGCATGAGAAGGCTGCATGGAGACCTCATAGCAGCCTTCCAGTATCTGAAGAGGGCCTATAAGGATGCTGGGGAGGGACTCTTCATTAGGGACTGTAGTGATAGGACAAGGGGTAACGGGTTCAAACTTAAACAGGGGAAGTTTAGATTGGATATAAGGAGGAAGTTCTTTACTGTAAGGGTGGTGAGGCACTGGAATGGGTTGCCCAGGGAAGCTGTGAATGCTCCATCCCTGGCATCCCTGGCAGTGTTCAGGGACAGGTTGGACAGAGCCTTAGGTGAGATGGTTTAGTGTGAGGTGTCCTTGCCCGTGGCAGGGGGGTTGGAACTGGATGATCTTAAGGCCCTTTCCAACCTTAACTATTCTGTGATTCTACGATTCTATACATCACCACCCCCCCCGTACAGCTGTAGAAAGTCTCATAACTCACCCACACACCTACCCCACTGCTAACATATATCATAAACCAATACAAACCAGACTGGATTCTCTTCGTGGTGGTGGTCTTGTTCTTAGATTTGGAGAACCTGAGCAGGAAAGGGAAAAGGGACAATTTATTTAACTTTGTAAGTATTGCTAAACACATTTTTCAGCAGCTCTTTGCTGTTACATAGTTTGAGAATATTAGTTATCGGTATTTGCAATATTTAAGGCATCTGCATGAAAAAAATATAGGAAACTATGAGGATATATTAGAAATACCAAGGTAGCTTAGCTATTCATCTCAGCTAAGCCAGCAAATTTAAGAGGAAATCACTGCCAGAAAGTAGTGGATTGCATTTTCTGCTGGAACTGACCAGCTCCACTGGAGATTGGCCAGTACAGAATTGGCCTAATACCTAGTTTTCCCCAAAGCGATAAAAATAATCCGCTAAATTAATAACACTCACATTGTCCTCTATCATGGTATCTTGCCATTCCTTGCATAGACTGGTGTTAGCATCCGCATTTTGCAGACAAAGTAGTCAAAATATTATAGCAATTTGCCCCCACAAAAACAACAGAACAAATGCCACAGAAGACATAGGTGGTCTCCTTGACTCTAACAATGCACCATCACATCATCTGCATTACTGAGGGCGTGGATCACATTTTAGAGTTTTCAAAAGGAAAGGCATCTGCTCTGGGAAAAAGTAAAAAGCAAACTCATACCGGCTAAGATAAAGAACCACCAGCCAGCCCTTGTAGAGAGTGAAATTAAATGTCATCACTACTAATGAAGGACCATGTCCTGGCATTCCTGCAGATCTACAGACAATGCAAAGATCTGCTCATGTGGACTCAGCTATAAAGCCAGTACACATGGGATTTAGGCAATGCATGCCCTGAAAGGTAGAAAACCAAATTCACTGAAAGCCAGTGGAAACCCAAACTACTTTACTGCCTTACTTATTTGAGCTCTTTGTGGTGCTATCCTTGCTATGGCTGGGGATCCCTGGGCCAGTTTGGAAATCTGCTTGTCTGGGGTCATCATGGCATTGCCATTAGAGTCATTGCACAGGATGGGCAAGCTGATTTCCTTCTTGGTGATATGAGTTTCTGCAGTCTCATTTTCTGCTTGAGTTTCCTTATCAGTGGATGCTTTCTTGTTCAGCAGGTTACTGATCTCCATGATGTTTCCTATGATTTCCACTGGACCAGTTAAGTTCTTTTTCCTAGATGGAAGATCATCTTTAGCCTTCTTCAGATAAGAAGCTGGGGCCCAGCCCTCTTTGCCTAGATACCTGCAGAGGCAAATGAAACATCATCACATCAAACATAGTCTTCTCACACATTTAAGGTATCATAGCGAAGGCAAAAGTGATAGATGATAACATAAACCAAAATTTGAGGTTCTTGTATAAGCTTTTCTGGTCTCTATTACCTATTGATCAAAACATGTCAGCTCAGGTAGCCATGAGCTGTGGACTGCTGTTAAAACCCACTAATCATCCTATGGAAGGACTTGCGTGTTTTATGCCACACTCAAACAGCACTAGGCAAACTCAGTATTTTCTCATACAGCAAAAAAGCAAATTATCAAGTAAAATATTTCAATACTTTCTAGTGGCAACTTAAAAGGGAAAAGGGCTAAACTAAGGGCGTGTGGAGCTCAGTACACAGACCTTGTGTCTACAGTTCAAAGCCCTTGTTCAAGCCTCCCCCCTTGCAACTATTAACATACACTGATGCTCCCCCCATAACTCCCAGTCTTGTATGATCAGTTTCTCTTACGGAGAATATGGGGCTCAATCTACTGCAGCTTTCTCTAGCACTGTAAAGTCAAGAAAGAATTTGACTGAGGAAAATGGCTTTGATGGAGATTCATTCGTCTGAACAAGTTAGAGGCTATTTCAAGAAATAAACTGGGAAATCTGAACAGACACCTGAATCCACTACATGTTCCTGGAGCACCAGCCTGAGCTGCTCATGCTGCACTTCAAACTGAGGTTATTCTTCCACAGCTGGGCTTTTGGGAAGATGGTTTTTCTAACTCCTGCCATTCCTAACACCTCAGCAGGGATTTCAGATTACACTCAGACTCCAGGGATGACCATGTGGATGAACTCTGCTTTCCCTAGCGAAACACTAACTTGCTACAGAATGAGTCACTGAAAACTTTCTTTAATCTCTTGAAATACCCAGGGCAGGAGCTTTACTGTAAGTGGGAAAGCAGGCACCATTAACATCCTGGTGCTCAGGAAACCTGCTGGAAATACAAAAGTTAAAACAGTAGGACTCTAAGGCTCTTTAATTAAAATGGAGACTCATTAGACAGCAGAGAAAGGAGCTGGGGGGCAGGTGAGGTAGAATATCAGCAAATCATTCCCTGGCAAATGAGCAACTCTGCCATGCCAACACTTGGATTCTGGGGTCATGGTGAGATTCCTGCACCAGGGCATACTCAGCTCATTCACCACATCCACACACTCAGGAGTGGTACAGGGGCTTTATAAGAACAGGAACATCCAGTGTAGGCTTGCTTCCTGAGACTTCTTCATTACTTGCCCTGTACAAAGGCAAGATCTTGCCTTTTCCTCCCCTCCCATCTAGATCACCCAGGATACTAGTGATGCTGCTTCTCCCTACATACCTGCCTTCTGTCACACATGAAAGCAAAGTTATGGAATCTCTCCTGCTCAGAGAGCCTAGTGACAAGTTCTTCCCCACAGATTCTGGTATAAAAGGAAAGAAGCCCAACAACTCTGAGCTTTATTTGCCATGTGGAGACTAACAGCAGCAAGTAACAACTTGATTTGACTTTCAACAGGTACACAGCATCCAGCCATTGATACTATGTCAAGATGCAAAAGGCCTGAATATGTGCCATATCCCCTGTTGTGACAAGGCAGCTCTCAATGACATTTTCCAACCCTGACGACTTTTGGCTTCCTCCCCTTTTGAAGTAGAAGGCCCTTTGGCAGAGCTACTGACCAATGCCAGGCAGCAGAAGTCACAGAAGTTTTCTTTAAAGGCCATTTATAACTTCATATGAACTAGAGATGTAAAGATTTTAATCTGTGAGAAAGCCTCATTGGCCAATGCACTGAGCACTCCAGCTCCAAGGTTGCTTTCAACAGAGCTCGACTGTGCAAAATCAGCAAGAAAAAACAGTTTACATCCATCTTAGTTTGTGGGAGACTTAACACGTTTAAGATCAGAAAGGCAGCCACAGGCAGGTTCTGTACTGGCATGTTAGTTCTCCTGCCAACTGTACGTATTTGGATCAGCCCATATAACCCTGCTGCTTCAGACACCTCTGATCTCGCATAGTTTCTCCTACTGAATAGTAGCAGCAATATCTGGACAGTTAATAACTTTGGGCAACATACCCTCAGTAGAGAAGCTGTTGCTGGTTATTTCTTCCTGCGAGTTAATAAATTCAACCTGAAATTTACTGCCAGCAACTGCCAGTTTATTTGTGCAACATCACAAATAAAAGCTACTTACGGAAGTTAAATAGTTCTTGAATCTGGTAATATCAAAGACCTTTGCACCTATCACCTTAGAAAACTACTTTATCTCCCTATTTTATAGGTGAATGAAGAGCAAGGGTAACTGCTAATCAGCGTCAGAGAAGTCCTGAACAAGTTACAATCTTCTCATCAAGAGATGAATCCCAAACTTACTTCCTTTGTTTAACGTTCACAACCTACTGGAGACATTTCAAACCCCATCCTAGATTCCTCCTCCTTTTTGTGCCACTAACACCTCCCAGCTACACTTCATTCACATGGGCTGGGGCTCACAACTAACCACAAAATGAAGATGCAGGCAAGTTTTACTTAACATAATGCTACTTACTTGGCCTCCAAACCACCTGGGCACCATGAGATTACCTCCAGGCGACAGTAACTGATACAAAGCAAGATCTAATAATGGATGCTAATGCCAGTCATGATTATTCTGGGGAGCGCACAGATCCACTGAGCTCAGTAGAACAGTAAGATGGATCCCAGGTCAGAGCCCCTCTTTCACTTCTCCAGAATCCAAATAATTTATTTATTTATTTTGAAGCCATAATGCACACAGAGCAAAATAAAGACACAAATATTGCCTCTAGCTTCTGCAGCATTGAACTGTGAGGTCTGCAGAATTAGGTGCAGTGATTTTGTTCCTCAGAGATTCCAAAACCTTCCCTATTTATATTACATGAAGGAAAAAATGGATTCAAACCATAGGAATGTTAAAAAAAGAGTCAGAAGTGCCTCTGTGAGTCTGAGAGTCACATCTGCTTTCCAGCTCCAGAGCACTGGAATTACTCCAGAGGGAAGCAAACTAGGGGAAAAAAAAAAATAAAAAAAATTAAAAAAAAGGAAAAAAAAAATTGAAAAAGGACAGGAAATGAGGATCAGCACATGGCCAGGAATTTGGGGAAATTACATATTTAAGGTGGAACAAGCTAATGTCTTTAAGGTGGATTTCATTTGCAAGCTGCTGGATTTGGTTTTTGTTTTTACACATTGATGTGTGTGCATTCAGTCTCCATTACCCAGCCTAGCAGACAACAAGGCAGCAGGCTTCAACTGCACTCTCTTCCTGCTCTCTCTTCCCCCACACTCACTGCAGAAAGATTTGTTCCTTTTAAGGCACACATTTGTCACACACATATGGGAAGGCCCTAACTCACCTTTCAACAAGAAGAGTGGTTGCTCAACTTAAAATGCCCCTTACAAAAAAGCCAAGGGCACGCTGTGTTTCCTAACTACAATGGGGTGGCTGGAGCATCCACTGTCCTTGCAGTAGATCACCATGAAGTGCTTACTTAAGCTACTGCAGCAAGAGTCACTGTCCACTAGAATCCACTTCTGCTATATAGAAAAGTGTGTGTTTTGGGTTGGCCTGAAGGAGTATGCAAAGAAAAGTGGGGAGAAAGAAAAGAAATTCTGCTTACTGTAGAACTGTTAATATTGCAAAGGGGAATACAGTAGTCATACGGCTTCATTTAAGAACAGCAAAATAAGTTAAAAGACGTCTTGCAGTGTTTCTCTTCTCTAAAAAGCCCCTATATGTTCTTGATTCCTCTATCTGCAACTTTGGATTCCACTTCTGTGAATGATTAAAACAGAAAAAAATATGTGACCTGACCAAACCCAGGCATTTTTGAGTTCTTCCTATCTAGAGTGCCTTCCTGGCTCCACTGCTACCTTTATTAGCCTATTCCCTCTATGGGAACATTAAACAGAAGTTAAAAATAAAAATTAAGAAACCCCATAACTCAACAGTATCAGTTTTCTAAGTAACGGACATCAAGAAAAATAACACCACTGCTTCAGTCAGCATTTTCATAGTCCTCATTCATAGCTGATAAATCAAGCAGAATTCAAAACAAAAGCAAGTTTTGGCTTGGGGAAGGAAAGGGGAAGAGATAATCACTGCATTTACAAGCTGAATGTAAAAAGATGACTAGATGAGATGTTTTTCACTGCCTGAAAGAGAAGCCTCTGCTTATAAGTTACCTGCAGTATTACATCTTGTTTAAAGAGAAACGGGATTTCACAGCACTGGCAGATTCACATACAGATACAAAACAAGGGCAGAATCAAGAAAAAGCACTAAACCTTAAGTATTGTGTATGCCTAGGTTGAGAAAGCTCTCGGTAAGTACTCATTCCTGACATTATATTACTATCTAAGACATAGCTAACCTACATCCTCCCCATCAGCATTTAAAAGGAGAATTCTTAAGTCACAATTATCTTCTATGACTATTGTTTCAAACATATAACAAAGTTTGATACGCAATGATAACTTCACCCGCCCTCAGAATCCAATCTCTGTAGACTGGGAATATCTAAGGTGGACAGGCAGAAATCAGGCAAATTATGAGACCACCAATAAGTATGGACAAGGGCTATAGCCAGCAGACTGATCTCTTCCATCCCTGAAAATAGCACTGCCTCCCCCAGACAGCTCAAGAGATCGCAATCAGCCTTTCGGCATTGCTATCAATAGATTTAAACATGTTACAGAATAACTCTTATACCGGAAACACATCTAAGTTACACAGAACAGAAAGCTTTGATAGGTCTCACTGATCTTAACTCGAATACGGGCTTTTAACTTGAAGGAAAGAAAATAATCTACAAGTTCAGGAATTTCCCCCCTGGAATGGTTCACAGCTTTCACAGACACTGCAGTGTTACTTTAACCACCACTGTATCATCACAGCCTTTTCTTTGCATTTCTTCAAGAGGCATTATGAACAATTTGGGCTTCCTTGCCTAGCTACAGAATGATTTAAACACTAAGTGAAGGATCAGAAAAGCTCATTGTCACAGTTTCTGCAGCAGCCTGGCTGCATGGCTTCTTTACCTTATGTACCACCATCCTTCCAGGTTCTTTTGGATGACCTCCACGGTGACCCCTTTCTCGAACCCAATCTCATCCTTCCCCTGGCTGGCGTACGGCTGGATAGTGACATATTTCTCTTCTAGTGAGGGAAGAAAAGGCAACATCAGTTAGGGTCAGAATCAGTCCAGCTGTTTTTCTGCTCTGCTTGCTTTTAAACTGTTATGCAGTGATTACGTGGAGCCGTTACAAAAGGCGGAGCCCTGCTCAGGGGCCCACTGATTATTTATGCTGACGACATGACAGATAATCAGCCCCTTGCCACTACCCTGCTGCTGATAATCACAAAGTGCTTCCATGCCAATAATGACACAAAGTCCCCTGAGAGCTTCCCCCCGCCTTTCTACCCCCCCCCTCCAAGTTCCTCGAGCGGGTAAGGGAGAGGTTTTGAAACTGGACTTAACTCCCATACTGTAACTTGACAGAATCAACCTGCCTGCCAAATCAGCCAAGCGTCACCGTGGGAGCTCCAGCCAGTTGGCTCTTTGAACACGGCACATGGCTGCAGAAAGCATTGTGTTACTGAAACCCTAGCCCTGCATCCCGAGAAGGACTGATCCTCCCCAGCTCAGAGGGGCTGGCCCATCACACTGCTCTCCTGGCACCTCCCAAACAGCACAGGTCTACAGCAACAAGCTTGAAACAGCATTAAAAAAGTGATAAAGGAATAAAGACATTTTGCATTTGACAGGAAACCATACAGCATTTGTACTCGTGAGTTGTGAAGTGCTTTGCATACTTTTCGTAGACCTCACTCCAGAGAAATAGGTTTGTGGCAGTGGTAAACAAGGGCCAGAACTAAGACACACACTTCAAAAGTGCAGGCTAGATTGAAAGTATGGTGTCCGAGCCAAAAACTCAGCATCTCTGCTCATTTGCAGCATCTATCCCCTTCCCAGCTAGGCAGGGGTGAGCAGACTTCCTAAGAGCAAGCCAATGAGCAGAACAGAACAGACACTTTGTCAGCATCTTCCTCCACCCACCAGGAGTCATCTACTGTGGCATTTCCATCACGCTCAAGGTCAACCTTCTCCTCCATTAGTTTAAAAGATTACAAATGGAACAGAAAACATGAACTACCAGCCTTAACCCTGCTGAACCCAAGCTGCAGTGCATGTAACAGCCTGAGTTTCTGTAGCTAGATCAAAGGGAGGGAAGGCAAGCAATAAAGTGCTCCCTCACAAGCCTTCCTAGCACGTTCTCCTGGCAGCCACAAGGCACAGCCAGGAACAAATAGCGGGTTGTCAGGGCACAGGAACAGGCAGAAAATTCAGTAAATCCAGAGCTCCTGATCACTGCAGGACAAAGGAGCTATGAAAAGGTTGCAGCAGCTTGAGGCAAACACTCTTCTGGAGAGAGTGAAGCAGACCCAACCATCTGTTTGGCTCTGTGGCTCAACTGCATTCTGTGCTGGGCAATGCATGGAAACTTTAAAGAAAAAAACAAACCATAACCGAGAGAAAGTAAGAACTAATACCTCAGAAAGGGTGAGGGGGAATGTTGACAGAGCATCCGATAGCAGAAAATTCAGCAAAGCTACATCTCTGAAGTCAACTTCCCTTGATGGGTCACATTTGGATCCTTACAATTCTGGTTGGGTAAGACCTGTCAAAACCTTTGCCTCCAAGTGGAAAATACTTTCTCCTGCTCTCCCCTAAGATGGCTGCTTTAACTGTCCTATCACTGATAACAAATTCCAGCTAGTTTATAATTAGCGCTATCAGGATATGACACCGTCCCCACAGAAATACTCTATTACAAGATAGGGTCTGATGAATGAAACCTGGCTAATGAAACCTGGCTTCAAAGTTGCAGGAAAAGAGGAAATCTTGTTGAGAGGAAAGCCCTTTAGGTGACTCCTCCCCATATGGAGGAAGGGCTGCATGGAAGTAGGAAGGGAAGAGAGAAGTTTTCCCATGAATTAAAGACAATAAAAAGGGTTAAAAATCCATTTAGAAAAGAGAGGGTCCTATAATGTTTTTGTTTAGCAGCTCTGTTTTTAAGCCTACAGATCAAAACAGGGAAGCCACCATTACAGTTTCCTCTTGCAAAGTGCTTCCACAGCAAAAATTACAGCCATTTCCAAGATTACACGTTTGGTTTCTTTCAGTAGTGCAGTGGATACCACAAAGATACATGAGGTTTGTAACTTAAACAGTATTACAGAGATACAGGCCTCCTTGCAGTCAAAGGGTGATTCTGCTTTGTTTCTCAAGACTACCTCCAGCCAGTGAGATAGTCCTTACACCAAGATTTGCTTAAGGGAGCAGTGGAGCTTTCAGTGGCTGTGTTACTTAAGACAACTGATGCAGCATTCAACATATCAGATTACTAGTCCAGTCTTTAAGAGAAGATATTTGACACTTCATAACTGATAAAGTTAACAGAAAGAGGTAACAGAGACAAATGGCTTCATGAGAGAATTGGGAGAGCATCAGTCAGTAGAAAGACACTGCTCTGAATTACACTGACAAATCTGAACTTTCATGATGGTTTCATCCAGCTACAATGACAGGCAATGGTATAAGACACAAGTCACTAAATCATCGCAGACCTACCATCAAAGTTGTATGCCCAGATCTACAGAGAATACAGAAGTGTTTAATTTTCAGTCATTAAATTTTGATTAAAAATTACCAAAGGAATGGAAAAAAAAAAGGCAAACAAAAGTATAATTCATATTCCCCAGCTGCAGCTTCTATTACACCAACTTCACCATCGAGGTCAAGTGGGCAGAATAAACTTTATTACATGTTACAAAGTACATACATCAGCCAAAAGGCTACACCTTGGAAATAATGGGATGAGAATCCTACTACACTTCAATACAGAAATAGCATAAAGGCACCTTTGTTCTTAGCACCTGACACCAGGAGATCTGTTAATGGCTCAATTGGCTAACTTCACTTATACTCCCTTACCACTATTTTGCAGGCCAAAGATGCCTCCCCAGCTAAACTGAAGGAGGTACCTCTATTGGAAATTCAACTGCACTAGTAAATCTGAACAAGGCACACATGAAGAAGCAAAGGCTGTTTGGCAATCTGTCACATCATGTGTTATCTAACTTCAACCCACTTAGCTTAGAAAGGAAGGATTGGTACATGTCGTTCTCCCTCCTACCCAAACACAGAAACTATTTAAAACATGCACAATAAGAACTTCTGCACTGTTTGGGCTACCCAACTCAGGCACTTGTAGCTGTGCTCTGCCCAGCCCTCCCAGACACCTCAGCTGCCCCAATGATCAGTGCACTAGCTATTCTAAAGCCCCACTTTCCTGTCAATCTTTCTACTTCCCTTTCTCCTCCCCAAATAAAGGCAGCCTTCTATTTCACTCTGCTTCTACCCAAAGTCTCCTGAAGAGAGACAGTAGAGGCTTGGGGTCATAGAGACAGATCCTGGTGGATCACTGGGAAAACAGTGTGGACAGCAGAGGACAGTTCCCACATCCTTGTTAACAGCCCATTTCCCTTTCCTTCCTTCATCTTGCATTGCACCCACCAAGTCTTCTTGCTCAGTTCATGGCTCTTCCATGAGATGGACCTGAAGCCAACCTGGCCAAGGAAAAGTCAGCATGACCCTAAGTCTGGTTTGCTTCATTGCAGATCTGCATGAGCATAAAGGAGAAGGGGAGCTGCTGGGAATGGCTCTTTTAGTGGTGGCACCACAAACTCTGAGTAAAACTCTTCTCTATATTAAGCCAAGCCAGTTTCAATGCAGCTTCACTAAATTTTGAGGAAAGAGGCCTATTTCTGAGACTGCTGGAAGCAGAGTCAAGGCAACCCCTATGCAACTTGATCTAAACCCAGGTTAGCACAGTTTTAGTGTGCTCACACATCATTTCCCACCTATTTTAAGATGCAGCTTAATAAAGTGCAACTTTTTTTGCCTAAATAGGATTTGTAGTACAGCTCTTAAACCATCACATGATTTACAGCAGAGCAAGATTACCTGTAGGCACCTTAGCAATGCTTATCAAATAGTAAAAGGTCACCTTTGCAGCCATTGGGGACTGAAATACTACTTCTGTCTCACCCAGCCTGTTAATAGCTATGCTACAACATACTGGTTGCAGAAAAACTAGGAACGCTGTATTTAACTTGTTACATTTTAGGAGGACTTAATGACATTTATTCCTGGATAATGGCAGACCATAACGGAGCTCTGCGTTTTTTCCTTTTGTGTAAGATTGCAGCTTGTAATTAAAGAGCCAGCAGATGTGTCCGCTCCTTCACACTGCCTTTACACAGCATAGTAACCAAATAGGTTTTCTTTTGTTTCACCTGATGTATTTCTGTCTACTAGTAAAAGGGGAATCTCAAAGAATTTATAAGGATTGAGCATGGTGTTTTCCATATCAGGTGATGTGTTAGGACAGCTCTCCCACAGGAAAAGCCTCAGAACACTAAAGATGAAACTTTGTCTGTTCCCAAAGAAACTGTACCTAACTGTTTGACAGAGCAAGACACCAAACTTGTCAGCTTCCCATCTGTCAAACCAGAATTTCAGACTTTAAATGTGTGCTTGCGCACACACATACTACACATTAAAGTTATGAGGTGTCTTGAGAAGGCAACTTGGTCTCTCCTCTGGCTGTCTGGATTTATACTTACTGTCAGGTCAAGGAAAGCAGACCTACGGTTTTACTGCCTGAGTTGTAATGTAGAGCTTCAGTAGCACTTTCCAAATCTTCCTGATTCCCCTGGCACTGATTATTTCAGATTCTTCCTAGTCTATCACCAAGGTAACGGCTCCTTTCCTCAACATCTTCAAAATCCTCTATCACTGCTGCTCCTCACCACCAGAGCCCTGATCTGGCCCTTCAACCTCTTTTGTACAGCTACTGCAGTCACCTCCTGCCTCCTTTGCTACTTTCTCAAAGGAGCAAAGCACACTGCTCTCACCAAAGGCTCTTGGCATAGCAGCCAGACTTTGCTCTTTACCAGGTACTTTGGTACCTCAGCCAGATTCCTACCAAGTGTACATCAATTCAGTTGTCCCATCTCAAATTTTCAAGCTTGCATGCAGTGCCTTGCTTTAATATCCAGCTACATGCTCTCACACGTTCTGCTCCCTTTGT